CCAAGGTATATATCAGAAGACATCAGAATTTATTTTAAGACAGTTGGTAATACTTAAATTTCCTTAACTACAAAATACCATTTTTCTTCCAAAACAAACCAAGCTTCCTGAGTGGATAAACCTATTTTTTTCAGTACGGTTGTTCAGCTGTTCAAGAGAAGACAATGGAGAACATGTTACCTCATTTCAAGACATCTCTACAACAAATATTTATTGAGGATCAATTATGTGCCAAGCATTGCACTGCACAATTAAAATACTGAATGATGAGCTGCATGAAAGAAGAAAGTTCCAAGGTACTATGAATGCAAAGGAGGAGTATCACATCTTCCAGAGATGAGAAAGCAGAGAGGAGGTGGCATTTAGATATACTTTTAAATTTTTTTAAAGGAAAAATGAAACTCGCAAGAAAGAGATTTTAACTTCTCATTTTTTTATAATCTCAAGTTTGTTCTTAGGTAAGACAGAAGAAGCCAGTGTCTTTTAGTGCCTATTACATAGCACCATGTAGTTCTCTATGGACATTATCTTGATTAACCATCCAAAAAGTTACAAAGAAAGAAAATGTGTGAGATATTGGTGTATTCGTCCATTTTACATTGCTATAAAGGAATACCTCAAACTGGCTCATTTATAAAGAAATGAAGTTTATTTGGCTCATGGTTCTGCAGGCCATATAAGAAACATGGCACCAGCATCTGCTTCTGATGAGGCTTCAGGAAGCTTTCAATCATGGCACAAGGGGAAGGGGAGCCAGTGTGTCACATGGCAACAGAGGGAGTAAGAGAGAGAGGAGGGATATCCCAGATTCTTTTTGTACAACCAGATCTCCCTGGGAACTGACAGAGCAAGAACTCACTCATTACCCAGGACAGCAGCAAGCCAGTCGTAAGGGATCTGCCCCCATGACCCAAACACTTCCCAGTTGGCCCTACCTCCCAACACTGAAGGTCCATTTCCAACCTGATATTTGGAGGGGACAAATATCCAAACTATATCAGACAGTTGCCTGTTCCCAGTGATAAGAAACACAGCAGAACTCGGTGAAAGCAAGACCCGATTTGGGCTGGGTGCAGTGGCTCACACCTCTAATCCTAGCACTTTGGGAGGGCAACGCAGGCAGATGGCTTGAGCTCAGGACTTCGACACCAGTCTGGGCAACACTGTGAAACCCCATCTCTGCAAAAAATACAAAAATTAGCCAGGCGTGTTGCCACATCCTGATAGTCCCACCTACTCAGGAGGCTGAGGTGGGAGGATTGTTTGAGCTCACGAGGTGGAAGCTGAGGTAAGCCAAGATCATGTCACTGCCTGGGTGACAAAGTGAGACCCTGTCTCAAAAAAAAAAAACCCTATTGAGAGATACAATCAGTTCTTACTTTAGAGTCCAAGAATCTCTGTCAATAACTTCCCAAAGTGGCTCCCTCACCCCACCTCAATCCCAACTCCCCAGAATAAAAATTTAAAGATTCCAACATAAACTTTGTGAAGTTTAAAAGCTAATGCTACAATTACACACCAAAACAGAAGCAACTTCTCAAAGAAACCTGCTATCCTCAACTAATAAAAGAAACAGAATTAGTTAGAGAAAAGGACATGATATAACAGCTTTTATCTGTCCAAACAAAATTGAATTCTTGCTTGTACCCTCCCCTTCTAAATAAACCTAGAAACACAGGAGGAAAATAAGAACAAAAGGACAGAATTTCCACTCTGAAATCATGCTGCTGGTAAAAACTGCTATTTGTCCCTTTTATGCCTGCTCAAATGATACCACAGTTTGGTCCCAGGTTCTGGGAAATCCAATCAACCCTCCTCCTGGCCACTTATCAGTCCTTCAACCCAGTTGCCTAACTGGACACTGAATCCTAGCTCCTAAAAAAAAAATCCCTTGGACTTTTCCCCAGTTCTGCACCTTTTCTACCCCCACAGCTACCACTAAGAAACAGGTCCTTATCATTTCTATTTGGACCTAACAGCCATCTGCTTCCAATGTCATCCAACTTTTGTCCTTTCCACCATCCACATTGCTGCAAAACTGATCACAAAATTCTCCTCTGTAAAACTATACAGCAAACTGTTAAGCAGTGGTTATCTCTAGTGAATGGGATTACAGGGACTTTTCACTGCCTATTTTTTTTATTATTTGTTTGCATTTTACAACAAACATGTATTCCCTTTACAATCAGGAAAAAAAATCACTATTTCCATTTTGGGAACAAAAATAATTTATTCCACTTGGAATCTATTACTCTCTTTCTCCATCAGGTTAACACCAAATTCTTTAGCCTGGCACACATTACCATGCTCTCCCTCTCTCTGAAACACATTTTCAACCTCCGTCCTGAGTATTTGCTCTAGACATCCTGAATGACTTGCTGTTGTTCTTTCCTTCACTATTTTATACATTTTGCTTCCTCTGCATAGACTACAAAGATGTAACAATAATCTTGAGTCTGTTCCAAATAGGCACTCTATCTCCCACTAATGGCCACCATAAATTATTAATCTAAGAAGAATGAAGTTTCACTTGTTCACCTGCAGCACACTACGCCTACAGTCTGCGGCCTACAGTCCCACCATTACACCAACATACTAAATTCTTTCCTTCTGATCAGCGCGACTGATGTTTTTAAAAGAATAAAATAAAATGACACTTTGCATCCACAGCCTGAGAGATGACATGGGAAGAGGCAGCACAATGCAGAGGACTAACTTTGGGCAGGGGCAGGAACAGCAGACAAATATAGGGCAAGGACCCTTGTTAAATTTGCTGCACAACTTTTCAGAGTATAATTGCTTTACTTGAAGTGTTGGAAATTTCCACATCAAGTAAAAGCACAATAAAGTTAAATTTGAAAAAACTAAGAATATCTGAGCTGGGTGCAGTGGCTCACACCTATAATTTCAGCACTTTGGGAGGCCGAGGCAGGCAGATCACTTGAGGTCAGAAGTTCGAGACCAGCCTGGCTAACATGGTGAAACCCCATCTCTACTAAAAATACAAAAGTCAGCCAGGCGTGGTAGTGCACACCTGTAATCCCAGCTTCTCCAAAGGCTGAGACAGGAGAATCACATGAACCCAGGAGGTGGAGGTTGCAATGAGGCGAGATCATGCCATTGCTCTCCAGCCTGGGCGACAGAGCAAGATTCTGTCCTTAAAAAAAAAAAAAAAAAAAAAAAAAAAAGGCACTTCCAAACCTAAGTATTAGAGCTTAAACCACAAAACTCTAAGAAGAAAACAAAGCAGTAAATCTTTGCAACCTTGGATCAAGCAGTGGTTTCTTAGAACAAGCAACAAAAGAAAAAAAAGAGATGGATTGGACTTTACCAAAATTAAAAACTTTTGATTCAAAGTGAATCACAAAACCAAAGAAGTGAATCATCAAGAAATTGAAAAGGCAGGCTGGGCACGGTGGCTCACACCCACTATCCCAGCACTTTGGGAGGCTGAGGCGGGTGGATCACCTGAGGTCAGGAGTTCAAGAAAAGCCTGGCCAACATGGTGAAACCCCGTCTCTACTAAAAATACAAAAATTAGCCGGCGTGATGGTGCACACCTGTAATATCAGCTACTCGGGAGGCTGAGGCAGGAGAACTGCTTGAGCCGGGGAAGAAGAGGCTGCAGCGAACCTCTGCACTCCAGCCTGAGTGACAGAGCAAGACTTCATCTCAAAAAAAAAAGAAAGAAAAAAGTGAAAAGGCAACTCAAAAAAACAAGAAATATTTGCAAATTATACATCACATAAGAGCATAGTATTAAGAATATAAAAAGAACTCTTACAACAATAAAAATACAACCCAATTTTAAAATGGGCAAAGAATTTGAGTAGGCATTTCTCCAAAGAATATATGCAATGGTCGCTAAGTACACGAAAAAATGCTCAACATCATAAGTTATCAGGGAACTGCAAATCAAAACCACAGTAAGCTACCACTTCATGCCCATGAGGATGACTAAAATCAGAAAGACAGACAATACCATATGCTGACAACGATGTAGAGAACTGAAACCCTCATACACTTCAGGTGGAAATGTGAAATGGTACAGCTGATTTGGGAAAGACGCTGGTAGTTCTTCCAAAGGTTAAACATCCTAACAGTTAACATATTATGCTGCAATTCCACTCCTAGATATATACCCAAGAGAACTGAAAACATATGGCCCAACAAAAACTCCTACAAAAATATTCATATCAGTATTAGTCATAATGGCCTAAAAGTGGAAACAATCAAATGTTCATCAGTTGATGAATGGATAAACACAACATGATATAACCACACAGTCATTTGAAAGAATGATATACCCATACATGCTACAATATGGGCGAACTTTGATTATGCTGAGTAAAAGCAGCAAGACACACAATAACATATATAGTATGATTTCATTTGTACGTAATGTCCAGAATAGAAAAATCCATAGACAAGCCACAAAAAGTTGATTAGAGGATACCAGGGAAATGGGGAGTGACTGCTAATGTGTACAGAGTGTCTGTGGTGATGAAATGTTCTAAAATTAGATAATGGCGATAATTATACAACACTGTGCATATGCTAAAAACCACTGAATTGTCCAAAAAAAAAAAAAAAAAACCCGGCTAGAAGGCCCTAAACATTTAACTAATGGAAAATGCACTAATTCATCCATCAGTCAATATCCTAGAATGTTTATAGAAAAGTACATTCTGACAATTTTTGGTAACCAATTTGCCTTCACCAATCTCCCCTCATTAGAGATCACAGGCAAATACAGTTGATCCTTGAACAATACAGGGCTTAGCGGCGCTTACCCCACACACAGTCAAAACCCACCTACAACTTGACTCCAACAAACTTTACTTATAGCCTACTGTTGACTGGAAACCTCACCAATAACATAAACAGTCAATTAACATATATTTTATATGTTATTTTAATTACATACTGTATTCTTACAATAAAGTAAGCTACAGAAAGAAAATGCTAAGGAAACCATAAGAAAGACAAAATATATTTACTATTCATTAGTAGAAGTGGATCATCATAAAGGTCTTCATCCTCATTGTCTTCACATTGAGTCGACTGAGAAGAAAGAGGGGAGTTGGTCTTGCTGTTTCAAGGATGGCAGAGGCGGAAGAGGTAGAAGGGGAGACAGAAGAGGCAGGCAAACTTAGTGTAACTTTATAGAAATACATCATAGGCCTTGCGCAGTGGCTCATGCCTGTAATCCCAGCACTTTGGGAGGCTGAGGCGGGCAGATCACCCGAGGTTGGGAGTTCGCGACCAGCCTGACCAACATAGAGAAAATCTGTCTCTACTAAAAATACAAAATCAGCCGGGCGTGGTGGCACATGCCTGTAATCCCAGCTACTAGGGAGCCTGAGACAGGAGAATCACCTGAACCGGGGAGGCAGAGGTTGTGGTGAGTCGAGATCAAGCCACTGCACTCCACCCTGGGCAACAAGAGCGAAATTCCATCTCAAAAAAAAAAAGAAATAAATACATCATAATTTCTGCCTTTTTTGCTTTTTCATTTCTCTAGAAATGTTTTGGTATGGTACCATTCCTTCTTCCACCATCTGCCTTAGTTTCAGTGTCTGTATCATAGAAGAGTAGATGTTGTAAAAGAAGTCCAAAGCAGCCTAAATAATCAGAACCATTTTGCCAGCTTGTCTAACATCAATTTGTTTCCTGATACTGCTTCTTTTGTGTCTTTTTCCTCATCATCTGGTACTGGTTCAGAAGCACTCATCTCCATCAAGTCATCTATTAATTCCTCTGGTGTGCCATCTATTGGGTCTTTAATTCTCTCAGATCTATATTTTAAAATCCTTCATTCCCCCATCTTTTTTTCCATACCCACAATGTCTTTCATGATTTCCTTAACTGGCTCTGCCATAAACCCTGTGAAGTCATGCACAACATCTGGACACTGTTTTGTCCAGCAGGAATGTATTGTTTTGAGCTTGATGGCTTCTGTGGCTGTAATAATGGCATCTTAAATGGTGTAATCCTTCTAGACTTCATGACGTTCTCCCTATTGGGGTTTTCTTTCATAATGTAGACAATCCTTTCCATAGGGTACCGCGTGTAACAAGCCTTAAAGGTCTTATGACCCACTCATCTACGGGCTAAATTAGAAATGTGTTTGGGGGCAAACAGATCACTTCAACACTTTTGGTGTTGAACTCATTGGGCTATGAGGGATCACGGGATTGTCTAATATCAAAAGAACTTTAAAAGGCAGTCCCTTATGGGCAAGGTACTTCTCCTTAGGGAACAAAGCATTGATGGAACCAATCAAGAAAAAGGGTTCTCATTGTCCAGACTTTCTTTTTGTAAAATGAAAAGACTGGCAGCTGGTGTTTATCTTTTCCTTCCAAGGCTCAGGGGTTCACAGCTTTATAGATAAGGGCAGTCCTAATCATAAACCCAAACTGAATTTGCACACAATGGTAGAATTCTATCCTTCTATCCCTTCTTGCCTTAAATCCTGGGACTTGCTTCATTACTAATAAATGTTCCTTGTGGCATTTTTTCCAGAATAAGGCCCTTTTGTCCGCATTAAAAACCTATTCAGGACCAGGTGCAGTGGCTCACGTCTGTAATCCCAGTACTTTGGGAGGTCGAGACAGGCGGATCACTTGAGGTCAGGAATTCGAGACCAGCCTTGGCCAACATGGTGAAACCCCGTCTCTACTAAAAATATAAAAATTAGCTGGCATGGTGGCGCATGCTTTGTAATCCCAGCTACTCAGGAGGCTGAGGCAGAATCGTTTGAACCCAGGAGGCAGAGTTTACAGTGAGTAGAGATTGTACCACTGCATTCCAGCTTGGGCGACAGAGCAAGGCTCTATCTAAAACAAACAAACATACAAACACCTATTCCAGCAGATATCCTTTCTCCTCAATGATTTTTTTTTTTTTTTTTTTGGAATAAGGTCTCACTCTGTCACTCAGGCTGGAGTGCAGTAGAACAATCACAGCTCACTGTAGCCTCTATCTCCTACGCTTAAGTGATTCTCCAACCTCAGCCTCACAAGTAGCTGAGACTCTAGGTAACGTGCCACCATATTTTATTTTATTTCCTTGTAGAGACAGAGTCTGACTATGTTGCCCAAGCTGATCTCGAACTCCTGGGCTCAAGTGATCCTCCTACTTTGGCCAGCCAAAGTGCTGGGATTTACAGGCGTGAGCCATAACACCCAGCAGAAATATTGTTCTGAGCTTTCATAATCCAATGATTTTCTTAATGGCATCTGGGAACGTATCTGCTGCATTTACTGTTATCTTGACTGGGTTTTGCGGGGTTTTTTGGTTTCGTTTTGTTTTGAGACATAGTCTCGCTCTGTTGCCCAGGCTGGAGTACAGTGGCACGATCTTGGCTCACCGTAACCTCTGCCTCCTGGGTTCAAACAATTCTGCCTCAGCCTCCCGAGTAGCTGGGATTACAGTCGTGTGCCACCATACCCGGCTAATTCTTGCATTCTCCAAAAAACTTTATGTGTAAGTGGACCCGCACAGTTCAAATTTTGTTCAAAGGGCAACTGTAGTTTTCATTATCTTTTTTTTTTTTTTTTTTTTTTTTTTTGAGACGGAGTCTCACGCTGTTGCCCAGGCTGGAGTGCAGTGGCGCGATCTCGGCTCACTGCAAGCTCCGCCTCCCGGGTTCCCGCCATTCTCCTGCCTCAGCCTCCTGAGTAGCTGGGACTACAGGCGCCCGCCACCGCGCCCGGCTAATTTTTTGTATTTTTAGTAGAGACGGGGTTTCACTGTGGTCTCGATCTCCTGACCTTGTGATCCGCCCGCCTCGGCCTCCCAAAGTGCTGGGATTACAGGCTTGAGCCACCGCGCCCGGCCAGTTTTCATTATCTTTATAAATTCTGTTACAGACTTAAATGTTGGGATAGGAGTTAGAAAACCCAATATATAGCTATTCATGTACTCAACACCAATATATCAGATGCTGAAACATATCATATGATATTAAGGATGGCACTGTATATTTCTGGACTGCTTCTGAGGCAAGCAATTTGAACCATAAAGATTCCACATAGCCCTAAAAGCTTATGTTGTGTTTATATTGCTACCCATAAGTACATCCAAGAGGATATTTTTAAGTTTTTAATTATATAGGTTCCTAGGCTGGGCATGGTGGCTCACGCCTGTAATCCCACCACTTTGGGAGGCGGAGGCAGGTAAACCACTTGAGGTCTGGAGTTCAAGACCAGCCTGGCCAACATGGAGAAAACCTGTCTCTATGAAAAATAGAAAAATTAGCCCAGTGTGGTGGCAGGTGCCTGTAATCCCAGCTACTGGGGAGGCTGAGGCATGAGAATCACTTGAACCTGGGAGGCAGAGGTTGCAGTGAGCCAAGATCACACCATTACACTCTAGCCTGGGTGACAGAGCAAGACTCTGTCTCAAAAAATAATAAAATAAAATAAAAAATAAATATAAATTATATAGGTTATTAAAACTCCTACTTTATGTAAATCAATGTAGTAATAAGAAATATTGATCCACTGATTCACTTTGAAATTTATAATAAGGATCATGATAAAGTCAAAAATTAATTACATTTTGATTTACATACCCTTTCCTATCCCTCTGCATATTTCTACTTTAGAAAGTTCTGTCTCTCAGAAAAACAAAGTTTTTAAAACTGGACATCTGTTGATCATAGTGCTATTTATAATAATAAAAAGTTATAAATAAGCATCGATCAACAGAGTAAATGGTTAAACAAATAAATGTACACGTATACAGACTATAGTTATTAAAAATGTTGAACAACGGCCGGGCACAGTGGCTCACGCCTGTAATCCCAGCACTTTGGGAGGCCGAGCCAGGTGGATCACGAGGTCAGGAGATCAAGACCATCCTGGCTAACACGATGAAACCCCGTCTCTACTAAAAATACAAAAAATGAACCGGGCTTTGTGACAGGCGCCTATAGTCCCAGCTACTCGGGAAGCTGAGGCAGAAGAATGGTGTGAACCTGGGAGGCAGAGGTTGCTGTGAGCCGAGATCGCACCACTGCACTCCAGCCTGGGCGACAGAGCGAGACTCAGTCTCAAAAAAATAAATAAAATAGGCCGGGCGCGGTGGCTCAAGCCTGTAATCCCAGCACTTTGGGAGGCCGAGACGGGCGGATCACGAGGTCAGGAGATCAAGACCATCCTGGCTAACACGGTGAAACCCCATCTCTACTAAAAAATACAAAAAACTAGCCGGGCGAGGTGGCGGGCGCCTGTAGTCCCAGCTACTCGGGAGGCTGAGGCAGGAGAATGGAGTAAACCCGGGAGGCGGAGCTTGCAGTGAGCTGAGATCCGGCCACTGCACTCCAGCCTGGGCGACAGAGCGAGACTCCGTCTCAAAAAAAAAAAAAAGAGGAAAATAAACACCTTATTGGTATAATATTGATTGGTTTTTCTGTTGCACAAAGCCAGAATGACAAATCCAAACACGATAAACACCAGAGTGGTGTTCTTCCCAGGTTGTTTGTTTGTTTGTTTGGAGATGGAGTCTCGCTCTGTCACCCAGGCTGGAGTGCGGTGGCGCAATCTCAGCTCACTGCAACCTCTGTCTCCCAAGTTCAAGCAATTCTCCTGTCTCAGCCTCCCGAGTAACTGGGACTAAGGGCGCCCGCCACCACGACCGGCTAACTTTTGTATTTTTAGTAGAGACGGGGTTCCACCATATTTGGTCAGGCTGGTCTCGAACTCCTGACATCAGGTGATCCACCCGCCTTGGCCTCCCAAAGTGCTAGGATTACCTGTGAGCCACCGCGCCTGGCCTGTTCTTCCCAGTGTTAAATGACAGCTAGATCTGCATTCTCCTCCCTTTTTTTTTTTTTTTTTTGAGACAGGGTCTCACTCTGTCGCCAGACTGGAATGCAGCAGCATTGTCTTGGCTCACTGCAACCTTTGCCTCCCAGGTTCAAGCAATTCTCCTGCCTCAGCCTCCCGAGTAGCTGGGACTACAGACATATGCCACCATGCCCAGCAAATTTTTTTTGTATTTTTAGTAGGGACGGGGTTTCACCATCTTAGTCAGGATGGTCTCAATCTCATGACCTCGTGATCCACCCGCCTCAGCCTCCCAAAGTGCTGGGATTACAGGGGTGAGCCACCACACCCGGCCTGATATTTTTCAAAATGCTTTTAATAATTTCTACACCAAAACACAACATGAAACTTTGTTTATTCTTC